GTGTGCCTTTCCTCCAGCGCACAGGTACGACGGTGGCTCCCCCCCCCCAGCTGGAAAATCATTGGACAAATTGAGGAGCCGATCTTGAACACGTATGGAGCTGGTACTCACTGTGAATTTTCCTCGCCTTGGGCTGATCCACCATATTGTTCCTCAGAGTGTGGTACCGGCATAACCGTAAGTCTACACAGTACTGGCTTTTTATTACGCTTTGTAGAGATAGTGCCCAATCATGGCATTTATTGCGCAACTGTTGTTTAAGACATCTGATTATTTTTTAGGCTAGTGAAAACCCAATAGCTTTTGAAACGTCATGAGTCAGGGGTACTTATTCCAATGACACAATGCAGCAGTGTTAGTCTGCTCAGGGTCGTTTCTTGTCTGCCAAATGCCGAATGAGGGTCTGATCGTTTCGCCTCAGCAATATGGTAGTCAGTGTGTCATGCATTTAGCCAGATTTATCTATAGGATGTAAGTGTCTAAAAAACATTATGGAATTTCCCTGAGGTACAATGAGAATGTTTCGAGTACGAATGACTGCATCCATACTTCTCCAGGAATTCAAATCTCAAGCTGAGTAAAACAGTAACAATACAGCGCGAATCCTGAGAAGTTACAGGGATTTGTTATTCTTGTCTGTGGCGTTGAAAAGTTGCAGTCTTCTAGAAAACGCATAATGTGTTAATTGTTTCATCATGCACGCCTATGACTCGAGGTATGTTCATTGTTGATGAACTACCAAATAATGAACATGCAAAAGAAACTTGTAAGGCAGTTGTATTACGTCATGCAGTGGCACCTTGAATCCAGCGACTTAGTTCTACATACAGTGATTCAAACCGACCATTACCGTAATGAGGGACTTATAACACCTCCGTTACAAAATTGCGACGTAAACGATGGTTGATAAAGGCCTTAAAGGCATGCATATGTGACAGTCATTAATAAGGGACACTAATAATAAGTGACACTCATTTTCACTGATCCGTCATTGCTCTGAAGTCACAGTCGGTAAAAAGGTAGCAACAACGCCCAGAAGCAGGTAATTTGAAATTGAAATTCGAGCCTATTTGATTGCTTGAAGTGTTCATTTCAGCAATCTGGAGTCATATGCGAATGTGTAACCCCATTGGTATAGGTGTTTCAGACAAGAAGGCAGATTTCAA